ATATTTAAATGGCATTTGTCTTTCAAATGAGATGACCGAGGACTTGGCCATGCTGGCCGTCCGTCCGGCCGTCAAGAAGGACAAATATATGAGGCTCAACTGCCCTTAGGAATACATGCACCATTCAAAACTCAGGATCCGCCTTCTTATTCGCAAAATGGTGTAATTACAGTGTTACAATTCAAAATCTTTTGATTGTTACGTGCAAGATGGTCGGTCGGTCGGTCGGGTGTAAGTTTTTCCCACGCAACAGGAAACAGTCAAATTTACGTTTTTATAGAGAATTTTAATTACATTTTATTTAAATAGTGTTAGGTAAAATGGGTTGGTAACTGTATTTATTATCTTCATGATTGGAATATTTTTTTTTTTTTGAAAGATTTACATATATACCATTAAATTCATATGTATTTACATAAGTGGCACCTGACCTTCAATTTTTACATATATACCAGCTTTCCTATGTATGGAAATAGGGCTGTCAAAATGTCTCGTTGTTCGTGAACAGCTCGTGTTCGGCTCTTCGCTAAGTTAACGAGATTTCTTCATTTTTTTTTACTAGTTTTGGCTCGAAATACTACTCATCAAGTATATCTATATCTGTACCCTATATGTATATATGTATATATGTATATATATATATATTTTTTAAAAATACATGACTTCAAATAGAATAAAAATTATTAAATTAGATTCAAATGATGTTTTAATACAATAATTTTTAAATCTTGCCTCAACCCTTAACATCTTATGACTATGTGATTAGGGTTGTCAAAACAATTTTTTGTTCATGAACAGCTAGTGTTCAGCTCTCTAAGCAAAAGAGCTGAACACGAATACACTTTTTGAGCTCGAAATATAAACTAGCCAAACACTAGCTGAGCCTGAGCTCACTTGTGTAGCTAGTATTCAGCTCTCTAAGCAAAAGAGCTGAACATGAATACACTTTTTGAGCTCGAAATATAAACTAGCCAAACACTAGCTGAGCCTGAGCTCACTTGTGTTCGGCTCATTTACACCCCTGTATGAAAAGGTGTATTTCAATTTTTTTTAGTTAATAGTAAAAAAAATTAAATTTTTAGTGTGATATGAAATATGCGGGGGGTATAAATGTAAAAAGTGAATGCATATAAATGCATAGGAATTGGGTGGTATTTATGCAAATGTCCATATTTTAATTTGTAAAATTTTTAGTAAAATATTTAGAAACCAACTGTTTTCGAGCATGTTGAATTAAAATTGATGATATATTTTGAGACAAGGCATATTACTATTATGTCAATGATGAATGAACTCATCAATAATGCAAAGAAATTATAAGATGATTTATGTATTGATATTAAGATCATTTTTTCTCATATGTAAACTACATCATGTACTAGATCGATCGCATGGTTATGAGTCCTACACAAGGCATGATGTTGTGTATGATTATGGCTATCCAACTAAGCATGATATGATTACAAATGATGTATAGAAACATTATTAAAATCATGACTTATACGTAACATGTTATGACATGTATAATATGACATTTGACATTTTATTTCTAATTGCTCAACCTTTATTCTATCGGTGTTATGTTATCGTCATAAGTGAAAATAATTCACAGACTTATATATTGTTTAGTCGTCAATAGTGAAAATAATCCAGACTTTTAAGTGAAAATAATCCACAGACATGATATTCCTCATGAATTAGTAAGACTTTGAAAACTATACGTTTATACGTAGCATGTTATGACATGTATAGTATGATGTTTGACATTTTATTTCTAATTGCTCAACCTTTATTATATCGGTGTTATGTTATCGTCATAAGTGAAAATAATTCACAGACTTATATATTGTTTAGTCGTCAATAGTGAAAATAATCCAGACTTTTAAGTGAAAATAATCCACAGACATGATATTCCTCATGAATTAGTAAGACTTTGAAAACTATACGTATTACAAACATTGATCTCATGAAATGATGAGCTATAAAATAAGATTAATTTTTATTTTTTGAGTGAATTATATTATGACACGAATCTAAACTAGTAGATTTAGATCCATTTTCCCTCATTTACTTGTCTCTTCATTCTAGATAGTTCAAACTACTTAAACAAACTTATTCCAACTCACCAACACATATAGTCAAAAAGGCTTGCTAGGTGCATCCTTCTAGCTTTGTTCCAAATTAGTCATCAATTAATGTTGCAATATAGCATGAGCAGGATCAAATCACTCAATCAAGTTGCAATCTATAATGGTGATTTCCCATCCACACAATCTTATAATTTTAACTTAAAAGTTTTTTTTATTGTGTCATTGCTTGATCAGGTTGGGCCCAAACCAATCAATCAATCAATAAAAAACTATCAATTATGCTTAGATTTTGTTGAATTTATGCAAATAAATAATATATTTTGTTGGATACACACAAAAGTTCTCAAACCTCATATACACAAGCTTAAAAAAGAAAGTTCTTAATTTTAAATTGATAACATATTGGCTATAGAAAATACATAATTGTTAGTAAGATAATTCAAAATATTCTATGACCGAGGAAGTCCAAAAGATACTAAGTAACGAAAAAAAAGATTATTTCTAGTTAGGTATTGATATGTCATCAGCAAATTTTCATCATATAACGAAAAAAAAGATTCTTTCTAGTTAGGTATTGATACGTCATCAGCAGATTTTCAACATATGACACGAACTCGAGGCATTGTGCAAATTTTGAGGGATTTTTTAGGCAATAAATATTCACACTCGAATTAAAAATTATTTGGCACTCTTGGTTTTAGTAAACTTACAATCTAACTGACCAACTTGATGAAACGAACCCATTGGTACTAAAATTGATCCAATCTATATTAGATCAAGCCCAGAGCAAGCTAGCCCTTGTACCACTTTTGAAAGCTTTGGGTCACTAATTAGAATGTCAAATGTATTCTAAATCTGACAAGCTTCTATTTGAATCTAGCTTCAGAATGATACAAATTCAACAAGCTTAAAATCACTAGATTATGATGCCATTAAGACACAACAATGTCCTTAAAAATCCATCTAATTGTGGAAATCTCTTCAGGTCCTCTGATGAAGTGATTCAAATTCTTTTCTTATTTACAAGGGAGACCACTGTAAGACACTATAAATAACTCCTACCCCTTTTATGAAAGCGAGAACAAAATACCAAAACTTAGAGCTAAACCAAGAACAAGACGGAGAAAGAGTTCAACCTAATGAACACTTCTCGTTCCCATAGCCTCTAACCACTGCAGACCATCACTCATCGACCGCCATTGACCGCCACTTGCTGGATTCCATCGACCATTGCCGACAACTCTCTACTTGGTGCAACAAAGCTCTATATGAAGTAAGGACACATGTCGTAGAGTAATGAAGCACATTGCATAGTAGCATATCGTCCCGAAGACTACGCAATGATGTACCGTTAAGATAGTGCACCGAATTCCCGGTAACTATGCCCAATTGCAACCATCGCAGAACAGGTCCTTCTGCATGCAAAGATTGTACTTCAAGAAATTCCTACCTGTGGGATAAGGGTCTGTACGTGTACTCCCTAATTTATAATAGATCATTCTAAACACAT